AATGCATTGAACACATTTAAGGCTTTTTTAAGGTGGCATATATTTTTGAATTTAATGGAAGGCCAAAGGTGTTAAAAATGTTTGATTTTAAAGTTTCTGGTTTCAAAGGATCATTTTTGGTTAATTTGGTTTCAAATCCTTTAAAAACAAGATGGCGCCTGGCCCCTTCTGACAGAGAACAAGTATGGTCTCCATGGATACAAGAATAACAACTACAAGGTTTAAAATTATTGTGGAAAAAAGATGAGATCCTTTACATGTTTTGGCTGTAACATGTTTAGAAGTTGACTAAGTTTATTATATGTGCTGCCATTGCTAACTGTGTGAGGAAAGCATAGAGAATAAATGTTTAATCAAGAGTTTAGAAAGGAGGATGATATTTTTATGTTTACATGAAGAAGGTAGAATTAAAACATCATTTTAGAACAATATATTATTTAAACATATTTCTGAGCTCATTCTTCATTTTTCTTCAGCCCTTGTTTAAATTTTCAGGTGAATATAAATCATTTAATCCCATCTGTCACCAGTAATTATAGGGCTTGGGCGTCATGACGTAATTACTTTGCCTGGCCGCCATGTTGATGGCCTCCTTTACCGCTGCTCAGACTACTGCCTACGACTACCGCGTACTGTACTCCCTCTCAGCTGTGTTTTAATTTGATTAATTTCACCTTAACTTGATTTCAACCATGGTAAACCGTTGCTGTATTGTGGGCTGTAACAACGCAACACATGATCGCCATGGGAAAAACATAGAAAGTGGGTTAACTTTCCACCGCTTTCCTGCCTGGAGGCGTAACCACGGAGACCAGGTGTCAGCTTGGATCACAGCTGTAAGACGACCGAACATAACTTTCCACAGTATCCCGATGTCAATGAGAGTGTGTTCCCTGCATTTTCATTCTGGTAAGTTAAAGATGCACGGTTTTATTTTATAGCCTGCTTTGTTTCTTTCCTTCAAAGTTGGGATCTTTTACGGGAAAATAATAAAAACGGCAGCGGGAAAAGGCTCAAATATGTGAGAAACCCGGAGGGTTGGCAGTTAACGTTACTAAGTACACCTTTGAAACACATAGCAGCTAGTTAAAAGTACATTACATGCGTGAGTGGTTGTTAGCACTAACGCCCCCCCTTTTTTAAAAAAAAAAAAAACCCCTTTTTTTCCCAAAACCAAAAAAAATTTTTAAACCCCCCCCAACCCCCCCCCCCCAAAATAAAAAAAAAAAAAAAAAATTTTTTTAAAAACCCCCCAAAAAAAAAAAACCCAAAAAAAAAAAAAAAAAAAACCCCCCCCCAAAAAAAAAAAAAAAAACCCCCCCCCCCCCCCCCCCCAAAAAAAAAAAAAACCCCCCCCCCCCCCCCCAAAAACCCCCCCCCCCCAAACCCCCCAAAAACCCCCCCCCCCCCCCCCCCCCAAAAAACCACCCAACCCCCCCCCCCCCCCCCCCCCCCAAAAACCCCCCCCCCCCCCCCCCCCCCCCAAAAACCCCCCGGGGGAAAAAAAAAAAACCCCCCCCCCCAAAAAAAAAAAATTTCCCCCCTTTTTTAAAATTCCCCCCCCCCCCCCCCCTTTTTTTTAAAAAAAAAAAAACCCCCCCCCCCCCCCCCAACCCCCCCCCAAAAAATTTTTAAAAATTTTTTTTTTTAAAAAAAAAAAATTTTTTTAAAAACCCCCCCCCCCCAAAACCCCCCCCCTTTTTTAAAAACCCCCCCCCAAAAAAAAATCCCCCCCCCCCAAAAAAAAAAAACCCCCCCCCCCCCCCAAAAAAACCCCCCCCCCCCCCAAAAAAAAAAACCCCCCCCCCCCCCTTTTTTAAAAAAAAATTAACCCCCCCCCAAAAAAAAACCCAAAAAAAAAATTTTTTTTTTTCCCCCCCCCCCCCCCCCCCCTTCCCCCCCCCCCCCCCCCCCCCAAAAAAAACCCCCCCCCCCAACCCCCAAAAAAAAAAAAAATTTTTTTCCCCCCCCACCCCCCCCCCCTTTTTTTTCCCCCCCCCCCCCCCCCTTTTTTTTTTCCCCCCCCCCCCCCCCAAATTTTTTAAAAAATTTTTTTTAAAAAAAAAAAATTTTTTTTTTTTTTTCTTTTAAAAAAAAAAAAAAATTTTTTTCCCCCCCCCCCCCCTTTCCCCCCCCCCCCAAACCCCAAACCCCCTTTCCCCCCCCTTTCCCCCCCCCCCCCCCCCCCCCCCCCCCTTTTTTTTTCCCCCCCCCCCCCCCCCCCCCCCAAAAAAAAAAACCCCCCCCTTTCCCCCAAAAATTTTTTTTTTCCCCTTTTTTTTTTTTTTTTTTCCCCCCCCTTTTTCCGGGGGGTTTAAAGTTTGGGTTTTTTTTGGGGTTTTTTTTAAAATTTAAACGTGATTTTTTTAAAACCTTTTTTTTTAAATTAAAATTTCTTTTCCTTTATTAAAAAAATTATTTTTTAAACCCAAATCACCGGAATTTTTTTTTGATCAAAATTTTTTTAAAAAAAAAAAATTTATTGGCAGCTTAAAATGTCCTTTAATCTGAACCCAAACTGACTTGAAAAGTTTTTGGGGCCCGCAGCTCCCAAAAGGGGGATGCGTGCCCCCTAGGGGAGTTTTTTGAAATTTCAGGGGGCGTAATTGAAAAAAAAATAAATAAGTGCACCATTTTGAGCGTATTTTTTTTTTTGTTAACCCCCTGAAATAAAAATCTAAAACCCCAATTAACCAGTAAAAAAAAAGATTTAATATAATTTTAAACTTACAAACTTAAAAGTTTTTTCTTGTGATTTAAAGGTATTTTAGTTTTTTTGTTCTAAAAAAAAAACCCTCAGGGAAAATAGCTGGTGAGGACCAGGGAAAATGTCCTCCCTTTTCAACAATGATCCCTTTGTGTGGGGCGGGGAAATAAAAAAAGCTCCTCCCCCTGATGCCCGGGGCCATATACACAGATAATTTTACATTTTATGGAAATACTTTTGTGTATTTTGGGATGAATTTTTAAATTTTTGAATGATTTTTAAATTTTTAAATTTTGGGCACTAAACAAACCACTAGCCTTGGGTTTTGGGTGTTTTTTAATTAGTTTTCCCGCTAACAATGTTCTTAAATTTATTAAATCTAGTAAACCTGAGTTACTCACACAGGCACACCCCCCAAACCCCAAAATAAAGCATTTTAAATTTTTTTGATTTAATGTTCCTTTAATTAATGTTCCCCCTTTTAATTTTTTTTCCTCATTGTCCGACCCCCTGAAACCCTTCCCCGGGGCTCTGCATCTTGAAACACTGAAACAGGTTGATTTTCCTTTAATTTCATATGAAAATGTTTCCAGGGGCCCTGAGGGAAATTTTTAGAGGAAGGTGCAGAGGGGTTTAAAGGGGGGGTGGGTTTGGGTTTTTGAGGTGACAGAGGATTTAGAGGAATTTGGTGGCTTCTTTCTGGTCAGTCTCATATGGTCCCAGTGACGGCTCCCGGGATGGGTAGCTCCCATAGCTCTAGGGAAAAAAGCGATTTAAGACGGGGACCACCTTCCACCCCCAGGGCGAAAAGAAACCCCCGGGCCCCCAGGGAAACCCGGGTCGTCTCCAGGAGGAGGAAAAAAGAGGGAAACGAAGATGAAAGGAGCCCCCCCGCCAAGAAGTTTTGTTTGTAGGGGGGAAAAAGTGAGGGGAGGAAAATTTTTACCAACCAAACTTTATTTAAATCTTTTAACAGCTTTTTCACAATAAAGGGGGGAAATGGGGAAATTTAAACAGAAGAACCAAACATTTTACCCCTCCCTTGCTTTTTGGAAACATCTTTCAGGAGGAGTTAGATTATTTTTTTGGGATTTGATGACGATTGGAGGGGGATACTGAAAGCTTGGGAAACAGGGCACATTTAGAATTTTTTTATTTTAAAATTGGATTGGGGTTATTCAATTCTTTTTGGCAAGGGGTTTTTTGGATTTAACCTTAGGTAGCGTCTTGCCCCCGTGCTTTTTTTTACCCCCCTGCTAGATTTTGTTTTAAGTTTTTTAAAATTTTAAAAAATTTTCCCCTTTTCACAACATCTGAGCCCGAGACTGGGGGGTGCTAACAAATTTATAAAAGGTTGGGTTAAAAAATGAGAGTGGGTTTAAAGGGGGAAATAAATCTAACATTCTCTAAGTCTAATGGGCAGAGTGGAAAACTCCTAAAGGGAAAGGGAAAGGCCAAAACCCCCAAAAAATCCACCCCAATCACAGAACGTTTGGAAAAAAGGGAAAAAAAAAAAAACAAAACAAAAAACATAAATCCCCGGTTTTAAAACAGGGGGAAGCACAAGGGGGCAAACCAACCGAGGCAAAAGCTGGGACCATCGCTGCTGGGGGGCAAACAAAACCCCTTTTAAGGGTGAGACATCCTGCTGGAGAAAGAAACACAGGGGGGGCAAAAAAAGATCCCCAAAGGTTTTAAAAGTGGAGATGGGGCCCCCTTTAAAGCTGGGGGCAGAGGGACAAGGGTGAAATGGGGAAGTTTTGGGCTTCTAGACAAGCTCTCCCAACTCCATTTCCCCTACCCGCAGTGTTTCTGCCGCCCTTTTTGGCCCCATCTCCCCCTCCAAAAAACACCCGATACAAACAAAAACCTTTTACCAACCCTTGCAGAGCTGAAAGCTGGGTGAGGGAAAAACAGCCTTTATTTGGGCTGATGGGGGAAGAGATTTACTAAAAGCTGCAGCAATGCACTCGGAGGAGTGGAGGGTGGGCAGCCCTGATCTTAAACAGGGCTGTAGTCTAGATCTAGAATAGAAAAAGTGAAAACAGTTTAAGTGGTCATCAGTTAACTGGTCTCTGGGATGATGGTGAGAAGGTTAAAAAGATGCTTGGGGGGACAATTTACTCAGAGAATTTTAAAGCAGAGGAAAAAGGACTATGGAAGGGGTGTTTGGGGTTTGGGAAAAGGCGGGGATTGGGTTTGAACCCCCGGGTTTCAGCTTTTGACTTGATCTAGTTTAGAATGTTCCCCCCTGGCTTAGTGAAAATCCCCTTGCAAAATACTCTCCATATGATCTAGGCCAGTTCTGACCACACTGGATCTCCTCTGTGTTTTTTTAATCCCATGTCGGACCGAGCCTCTACAAGCTTTGGGCCGTCAGAAGATGCTGATGAGATCTACAGCGACCAAACCAGAGGAGCATCATCTGAGCTGCTGACCTTTACAAAAAGTGAGAGCATGTACAGTAACGAGCAACAATCATCCATCATTTAGATATAAAGTCAGCATTTCAGGTGGCCTTACTTAGTTTTTCATTTATGTTCAGACCCTGTGGACGTCCAAAAGCAGAACTCCTGTGAGGAACCGGGACCTCCAGGATGCTGAGGAGCCTCCTAGTCCCCACCTGAGGACGGCACAGAGGAACACACCTGGAGTAAGCCTTTATTAACATGACAAACAGAGAACTCAACTTTAAAATTGGTGTCGAGAAAATTCTGTGGATTAATTTAGCTTCTTTTTTACAGGAGAAGCAGGTTGAATATGGAAGCAGTGATCTAGCAGTGGGATCTCAGTGGAGCAGAGTCCATCCACACGTGTTTGAAGGTATGTTGGTTGTTTGACTAGAGAGGCGTCACATGCAGACAGTTTCAGACTCTGAGGACACTTTGCTTTCATTGATGAAGGAGCTGAAGCAGAGGATGGAGAACACAGACCACTAAGGAGGAGAAACATGGCTCCTCTATTTGTCTCTCCAACATTCTGGAGTCCTGGACTGAAAAACATTGAAGACCCCACAACTAAACCATCAGTCTGCTCCACCCAGAAAGAAGGTAAAGAACCTTTATTGCTTCCAGATGTTCATCAGTATTGGTGAAGGTACTAAAAACAGATCTAGAACAAACAGATTCAAAAACCACAGCCATCCCATCAAGGTGGTCTAACCTTTAATCCTTATCTTTCCATCATGAATGGATGTTAACCTCAATTTTCATCTCTGTAACCAAACCTTCACCAGAACCAGAAGTTAACGGTTCAGAAGCAGCTTCTGATCCAATGTGGGAGAATTTCCCCCTGGTTTATGTCTGAAGGGTTTTTAGAACTTATTAAAGCAGAGAAACTAACCTGATGAAACCGACTGAAGACTCCAACAAATGCAGCATTTTCAGGCATTTTCTCCAAGCATCCATTGTCTACAGTTATCACTGCTGTTAACTTTAGCTTCTCTCTGTGTGTTTTCCTCTTCTCTTGGTGAAAGTTCCACCCACTGCATGAAAAGTGAGATTTTCGTCCCCGTAAACCCCCGTAAACTCCCGCAGATCTGCCTGATTTTCGTCAGTTTCCGACAATTTGCAACCCGTGCTGGTCCGCGTTTGTCGTGCCACAAATTATTGCTGGAAACGGACTCTGACGTATGTGGAGAGCGATCAGCTGTACTAATGGCCCTAATTAGCATATGAATGCAGCAAACCCGCGCGGCTGGCCAGGTCTGGCTTGAATAACCTTCTCAGTATTGGCTGAAACCACTGTTCTCAAACAAATGAAATCGCTCGTGATTGGCAGCAAAACCACACGTGGCCACGCCAGGCTTTAATTTTCTTACTGAGTATTGGACGGAACCACTTCTTTTTAAACAAGTAAAGTCGCTCGTGATTGGTTGGCATATATATATATTTACATATATATATTTATTCATATATATATATATATATTTATTCATTCATATATTTATTCATTCATATATTTATTCATTCATATGGTGTGTATTTATGTTATCCTACACTACTACACAATTATTAGGCTACCATCAAGGACATGAATGAATTTATATAGGAAATGAACATTTGCAGGAAGCTGTTTATGCAAAGAAAGAGCTTTATTGAATCACACACAACTATATACAACGCTATCCAAACACATGCGTTTCTAAAAATTAAAACTCTGTGAACGGTCCGTTTGCTTCCTCGGGGTTGGAGGTAACTGGCAGCATTCCCTCCGAGGCAGGTCCGATGTGCAGACGCCTACTGTACGTGGCCCTGTACTTCGGCATCGCTTCTAACCGGGACTGCAGCTTAACACAGAGTTCAGTGAGATCCAGCCTACGAAATTGCGGCGACCGTACAATCCATCCAGACACCGCCGAGGAAGGCGGACTTCCAGAGTTCCACTTCCTCATCTGCTAGCACACTCTGCCTCGCTTTCAGCAGCTGAAAAAAAAAATGAATCAGCGCACTGCGTATGGACACAACACATCTATTAATGCACCTGAAAAATAGTCACCAAATAAAGTCTTACCCTCTTTCTTCTGGCCCGACTCCGAGCAGATTGCCTCCGCACGCAGCGTGTTGGCTGGCAGCCTATATCTGAAGCTCCTGCGTACCGTCTGAAAATACGTCTTACAGGCAGCTGGAAAACAATTAAATGAGAGTGGTATAAATAAAAAATCAAACGCAAGTCACAGTAACAAGGAAGGAGAAAACATTAAAACAAGTCACTTACACACAATGTCGTCTTTATCAACATTGTGCAAATCTGGACTTGCTGATTATGGCTCCGAGCAAATAGGAGGTCACCGCCTCATTGTGAGGCGACAGTAGTCTGTGAAAACAAAATGTAAAAGCTATGATCGGTATCTATCTGTATCCATTTCCTTTTACCGCAGAATGAAAGCATATTCATTAAATCTTACCCTTGCTCCGGTTCATAGCGCCTGCAATTAGTCTCCGAGTTGTTAAGACGGCATACTGCTTCCTGTAATCACAAAAAATACACTTTAATAAAGCTTGTTCTTGCAAGGCTAGGCTAGATAGGCTAATAGCTAGGCTGCTATTAGCCGGTAGCTTAGGCTAGGCTGCTTTTAGCTTAGCAGGCAGTAATCGAACATATATTTACCGCTAGCATCTCTTCTTTGAGTTCATCTTGTTCGATGCAGAGTCGCCATCGCGTCCAAGAGGAGTTTTACCCCGAAATCCAGACGCTCCAGACCGCCTGCACAAAGCAAAGCAGCATCCTCCACTATGGATCCAGACCCCGCCGCTCTGTTTCTTGGAGATTGTACAGAGCATGCGCGAGATGAACCAGAGTTTCCGCGGATCAATAAAAATAATTAAAAAATCATTCTTTTTTTTTTTTTTTAAATCAAGGCCTTAATTGGCACTAAAATTATTTAAATATGTTTATCGAAGTATTTATAATTCTTTAATAAAAAATGCTTATAAAAACAATTTCGTCAGATATATTATATCGCTCCAGGCGGAGAAAAAGCTAGAGGATATATATATACGTATATATGTGTGTGTGTGTGTTTACATACATACAGGAGTCATGGAACTGTGCTTGCAGCTTCTTCATATTTCATGTACACTAATAACTTGTGTACATGGTTCTTGTTGATGGTATTAAAATCATTTCTAATAGCATTTAAATAGCATTAAATTAGAGTCACTCATTCCTGTATGAACCCTGTGAACGCTTAATTTAATATGACATATTAAAAAAATCCCACCATCATCCAGCATATGTTCAGTTTCTGCCCAAATATATATATATATATTTTTGTAGATTTTTGTAACGGGGATAAGGATAATTCAAAACTGCATTTTTTTAATGAACTTGTTCACTACTTCCAAACTCAGCATCTCTTTTCATTCCTGTAATAAGAAGTTTCTTTTGAATGGATTTCATTAAAGTTTAAGTCCCTCGGTATAAAATAAATATTTTGATGGAGATGAGAAATCTGCTTCCTCGTTGGTGAATAACCAATAGTTTGGATCCAATCATTTAAATAAACGGTGTTAGTTTTTTTTTTTTTTTTATATATATATATAAGAATTGTGCTATAATTTCTAGTCACCGATCTGTTGCTGCTATATTTTAATTTGACGAACCGGAATTTGTCGATGTTCTTTTTCCTGTTTGGTGCAATTGCAATTGCGGATCTTGACCTGGCCGGACCTTATGACCACAGTGTACCAATCTTCTGATGGCTACTTCCAGCAGGATAATGCGCCATGTTATAAAGTGAATCATCTCAGACTCATTTCTTGAAACTTTTCCACTTAAGTAATTGTGAATTGAGCATATTGACAGACAACATTTTATTTTTTATCTTAAATGCAATTTTTTTAAAAATAATTACTGCTCTAAATGTATTGCTCTGTCGGCTAAAGATCTGTTTTGGTCTCTATACTTTAATTAAATAAATCAATTCAAGCTAAAATGTGAGAGGCTATACTCACTAACTCCTGTTCTTCTTTTCCAGATGGTCAGCTGCTCCTTGGACCGGCGCCTCTGTGTCTGTTGGACGTCTGCTGTCCTGTTAAAGACTCGCTCGGCAGCAGTAGATGGGCGCTGACATGGAGCCGGGTTCTTCTGGAGGATCCTTCCTGCTTAAAGCTAGTTTTCCTCTCTACTGTCACCACTTCATTGCTCAGGAGGAGGGACTGCTGCATTCATGACTGGATGTGATTGGCTGAGCTTCCCTGGATTGAATATGTTTCTTTAAACGTTATAATTCACTAAATTTATCTTCATCATATTGTAAATAGGATCTAACTGGATGTTTATAAATTAATTTAATTCTGTTTGTGTTGAATTCTGTTACATGTTTCTGTTTTAAAGCTCTCATGTAAATTGCCTTGATATAACATTAGCTGTGATTTGTTTTTATTTTAAAAGACTGAATTATATCAAATCTTGCCTAATGAGTCTGGTTCTCTCAGGTTCTTCCTGTCATTCTATCTTCACCTGTTATTTATTATCACTATAATAAAGGTTTGATTTTTGTTAAGGCTGTTGAAGTAATTGGTTGTAAATTGGTTCTTTATAAATAAACAAACTGAAGTCAACAGGAGCAAGAGTTCTAATATTACTATAGTACAGCGCTTCAGCATATTTGTGGTTATTATTGTTTCTCATGTAAACAGAAAAATTTTTTATGGTCATCTTGCAGCTTCTGAACAAATTAGGTCTATAAAGTTTGTGGTTGTTGTTCATCAGTGGCAGTTCCAGAAAATGTTGGTAGAGGCGGCCAGTTAGCTCTATAAAAAGGACAGAAAGCATAAAACAATTCAAGTTAGGGGAGCTAAAATCAAACTGCACTCTGTAACAAACCATAGAAAACAGGTTTGTGGTCGTTGTTCATTAGTGGCGGTTCCAGAAAAAATCTATAGGTTTGCACAGAGGGGAGGATGAAAATTAATAGATGTCAAAAACATTTTACAGTCAATCTCTGCTGATCACAATAAACAACAAGAACATGAATTCAAACATCTATATTTTCCAAATAAATCACTAAAAACAGACCAGATTTTCATGAGGTCCTTGGGAATGAAGCTCCGCTCATATTTATATATTGGTGGAAGTTAAATAAAAATGATTTCTAAATAATCACTCGACCTGTTCTAACAACTTCTATGCTATTTATTTATTCATTTTTTAATGTTAAATTGCATTAAAATCCTTCCAGATATGAACCCCTCCCAGAGGTTAAATACTGTTTGTGGTCCTTAAAGAGTCCTTGCATTGGATTTGGAAACGCTGCCTAATAAAACGCTCTGCTTTACCAGCAGCAACATCAGAGCCTTAATGGCTTTTTTTCATCACAGATGAAAGATCTTGCTGGCCAATAAACTGCTGGCCTGTTTTCTCACCTAAATTGTTTGTGAAAATTGAAAACCATTCAAATTTCTCTTGTTGGTTTATTTTAAAGTTTGCAATTAGATTTTTAAACTTCTTTGAATTTTTTTAGTTAATAATGGGAATTAATTTTAATGATTCTTTTTTGTCTGTTGTAAAACAAATTCTGTGTTAGCCTTGGTTCTAAAATGCTCTCTTGGTTATTCCTTTGAATCCAGGAGCAGTGAAGTACCTGGGATGCTCAGTCAGTCACATAAAAAGTCTGAGGTTTTTGTCTTGGAGTTTATGTAGTAATTCTGAGTGGCCAGTAGATGGCGTCATTGCTTTTAAATTAAACTAAACCCAGTGTCCTTATCCCTTTAGAAGGCACTCAGTGAAATACTTTGAAAATCTACATTTCCAGCCAATAGTGTTATTGGAATCCAGGACTAGACCTTATTACCTTTGTAGCATAAAACAAATATGTTAATAGTTTGATGGTAAAAATGAATGTCAATGTAATAACTAGAAACGCCAACTAGCCCAAATATATTGAGAAAAATAACAAAAGTGCTTCTATAAGAAATTCATGAAAAACACTCAGAGTGAAACAACATAACCTTAGAGGCATTAATGCTGATACTGGCACCTACATTTTTTGTTTATAAACCTAAATATAATTGTTTAGGTTATTAACTTTTTAAATGTTCCCTTTTTAACTTTTCAATTAGTGTTTTACCTTTTTTTCTTGACTTGTTAACTTTTTTTCCCAAACTTAATTTACAGGAGGAGGTAATATCATTAAAGGGCTCCTCTAATTGGTCAAATGCCAAGATAAGATGTACAGCCATGTAGCAGGATCTTTGCTGAATGGCTGGATATAGATCTTCTGCTTCTAGATCTCACTGAGGGAGGGGGGGCTCCATTTGTAAGGGGGATGCAATTGATCCAAAATACTAACTCGCCCTATAAAGGGTTAATTGAAACACATCCATCATACAATACATGAAATCAGCTCACTTCACAAAGTATTAAAAACAAACTTTCATTTAATTATTATTTTTAATTGACTGACAGCAAATCTAACTTAAAGTGTGGTATAAACATATTTTTTGTATTTTCTATCAAAGAATGTTTTAAATATTTGCAAATTGAATCCTTAAAGATAAGAATTGTTAAGTTTTCATAATGTTAAACTTCTAAATATGATGAATAAAAACAGGAAATGGATGCAGTGGTTCTACTTGTCATCAGATGCTGAATAAGACATTTACAGAGTGGAGCATTTATTTCTGTTGAGGTTTTTAAGTGTTGTGGTTTTGGTGAATATTTTATCAAATGGAAATTTCTATCGTAGTCAAGTTTAGACTGATTGTAAAAAGTATCAAAATAAAAAAAGATCCAGTAAAGGGGATGCTTTACCTCCTTTGCTGTTTATTAAAGCTATTCAACCTTAGCAATAACCATAAGAACTGGCTAGAATGAAACAGGCATAACAATTGGGCATCAACAACACCGTTATGCATTATTTGCAGCTGATGCATTGTTAGTTTTTAAAAACATAGAAAAGTCTAAAGCCAAATTATTAGAAATTATCAAGTATTTTGTTAAAATCTCAGGGATTAGATTAAACAAATATAAATGATTTAGAAACCAAGTTGGCAACCTAATATAACACAAAAAAATGGGGATCTTTATAATATAGAGAGAGTACTTTTTAAATTTATATATATATATATCTATATATATATATATATATAAACAGGGAAATTAAAGCACTTTAATAAATATTTACAGCTGAGGAATTGGATTTGTTTGACTTTATTAGGACCCAACAAAACTAAACATAATTCACTGAAACAAATATATTTAATTATACAGAAAATTAACAAATTAAATAGAAGTGTTTCTGTATTAACGTGAAATTGAGAAAGGTACAGTCTATCTACATACATACAAATTCACAAAAATACAAATGAGCTCACAGCTTCAAATACTACAGCTAGAAACCGACTAGCCTGATAAACCAGACTAAATGTGAGATTAAATGTGTAATTCGCAGGCAAAAATGATTTTGGCCACTGGGGCTAGTTTACTAGGCTAGAAATATATTGCATGTTATATTGACTATAAAATAAAGTAACTCAAAAAGTTTTAAAGACTTATGCATAGAAGGAGTATAAAAGTAAATGGCATCATGCATGCACAATGTACAAATAGAAAAATATTATAGCATTAACAGACATGTACTTGTATTCAGTCTTGATGTGTAATCTTGAAATTATATGTAGTATGTAAATACCATAACAATGTCATCATACATGTATATTATTGTACTCATTTTCT